TGGAAAGCAGAGCAGATTTAACTTGTTACTCATTTCTGTTCTGCTTCAAAAAAAAAAAGTGGTAATTAGGTAATTATTGGTGGTATGTATGCTACAGTTGAGAACCCCTGTCTGTGAAAAAGATTGCAGTAAGGTGCCTAGTATTAGCTACAGAGACATACTTTTTCAGGAGTTCTTTGCATTTGTCTGCTTGGTGCTGTTGGGGGGGTGGGGGGGGGCTTTCCTGAATTGTTGTAAATCTATGAAGAGGAAGTAGCTAGTGCCCTTTTATTTAGGGTCTTGAAACAAACAACTTTATTTTCAAATGCCTTTTTTGTTTAACGCTTTGAGATTAGGGCTTTGCCTTTCCTGAGGAGCTGTGCAAAAGATGGGAAAACAAATAGCAATGCAATACAACAAATACTTTGGAATAGTATGAGATATACTAATGTATGCATGCTCTGTTAAGAAAACATGAGGAAAAGAGAAAGTTATTTTAGTCCTGTGCTTATTGACCAGTGATCTGCCACCAGGCTTCTCCCTCAGTCTGCTTACTTTTTCACATACCTATCTGCCTGTTTTTGCAAAACACTTTATTGTCAAACACTTTATTGTCACAGAACAGATTTGCCTTTGTCTTATTAAGTAAGACAAAGCAATGCAGCCTTAAAGAGTAGGAAGGATGAAAAGCTAGAAGTTACAAGAGAGGCAGTGGATTCTGATATAAAGTCTTAATGTTACAAAAACATGCTCTCTATGTGCCTGGTGTTTGCTTTTAGTTTTACTTTTTAATTCTGAGATTGTATTCCCCCACCCCCTACCCCCAATTACTTTTTCAGGCAGAGGTATTCCTTCCATGTTTGGTGGGGGTTTTTGGGAGGGGGTTGTTTTTTCTTCAAATCATTGAGTCCTTGGTCTTAAAAGAATTTCAGCTTCCTGTACTGATGTAGGTGCAGAGGCAGCCGAGTAAATAAGACCTATGTACGTGTCTGAGCATTTCTTAATTATATTATTTATATGTTCAATTTATGTTTCAGGGAAAATATAAAGGATAGTCTTCTCATAATTGCTTTTTATTTGATATTCTGCTGGATGAGACACAGAAATCTTTGTACAGTGCCATTGAAGTTTTCAGTAAATGGGTTGCTGCAAAGAAGCTTGCAGCCAACTGATCTTGTGTCTCTGTTTAGGAAAAGTGCTCTTTGAGGTTGTCACACAGAAGTTATAATCTCTCATTTCCCGTTTGTAAAATAAGCATGTTTCTTGAAGTTGTAATGAAGAAACTGGCAGGTGGGGTATAAGCAGTACTGAGAATTTCTTGCTTCTGTTCTAGTGGCTGAGCCAAGTATGTGTGCTGTTTCTTGTTTGCTGCCTTGTATGAGTATTCCAATTTAGTTTGGTTCTGTTGCTGGGGAGAGGGAAGGAAAACTTGTAACAATCAAGCATATACTGTGCTTACTTGTTACCTTCATTTTGTAGAAGTTTTTTGAATAGTTATGCTTCTATAAGCTTAAAGTCATGCTTACAGAAGATGACATGCAATTTGTGTAGAACGGTATGGTTATTATGAAAACAGGTTTGTCTTGTGCCTCATAAAAGTAGAAATACCCACAAGAAGTAGGGATTCTTCCATGCAGATACACTTGTAGGCTCCCTGAGAAAGCATGACATTTGACCATGGTTTCATGTAGATCAAAGTGTCACAAAGACATGATTCTTTAACTTTTGCAAGGATGTAATGGCAGGCATAACAGTGCTTGTCCAATAAGGCCCTGATCCTCTCTGAGGCTTCTGGGCACTTTTGCTGTCCAGAGAAGTAATAAGAAATTATAATTAGGATGAGCTGGATGGTTTTTACATTCTGAAGTTAAAATGCATGTGCTAGTTTCTAGAAACATCTGTTAGACTGAATTCTTAGTTTTTTGTTCCAGCTTTGAAAGATGTTTTTATTGGTAATAACGTCATTTTAAATCTTTTGACTATAACTCCGTTCTGAGAAACTAGAAAGGGAGATAACTGTGGTCTGTTTCCTAGTTCTTGTTTCTAGGTCCAGAAAAGTTTGTGAGGTAATCCAAATATTCCTTTTAAATTTTGAGTACATATTGAACAGATAGGTTTAAAAAAAAAAAAAAAAGCCATAGTATTTGTGGTGGTGTCCTTCTGTTTTTGAAAATCTTCTTCTAAATATGTTCCTTGAATAACAGTGATACAAGTTTGTGTGCGTCATTAAAACTTTCTTAAAACCTTTCTCTTCAGGGCTTACTGCTATGGAGAAGAAGCTAGCTGAATACAAGTGTAACACAAATGAAGCAATTCAACTAAAATTAGGTAATATCACTTTAAATACTGCACATTTGATACTGGACTATATTAACACCTGCTTAAGCTTCTTATATTTCAAATCAACTCAGGTTTTAACATGTACTTATTAATGTAAACATTCAAATACCAGAATAGGATAACAGTCTAATTTTTCTGAGATTATTGCAGTTAAAGTCCTGCTACAGAAACTTAATCCTGTATCTGCATAATAATGTCATTAGCATGTTACCAGAATGCGTTGGAATTGTATCTTACCCTACTTTTTTTGAATTATTCAGTATGTTCTCCCATCCCCCCCAAATCCTTATAGTATAGTATAAATCTAAAGTATGTGTTGTCTTCTTCATAATGACCTTAGTGACAGAACTCATAGGTGAGGAAAAAATATAAACAGTAAGGAAAACTCTAGGCTTTAGAGAACAGGCAGGAAAAAAGCCTTAATTATTCTGGTAATGTTAGTACAAACGCCAGTGTAATATTGGTGCAACTACTTTGTGTGCATCTGCTCTGATTCTCTAAAACTTTAACATGAACATAAGTGCACATTCTTCCGTTCAGTCAACACATTCTTCCATTCATTACTCTGAAACCCACGTACAGTGAAGTGTTCTCTCTTCACCTGCATGTAAGAGAAGAATGACAGAATGAGAAGGCAGCACTGTTCACATGATTGGTCTGGCTTACGGTAGGAGTATCCAGCTGGGCAGCAACCACAGTGTTCAAGAGGGAGTAAAAGTCAGTAACGTTCAGCTGTATATACATAAAGCTGTATATATCTGCATTGATTTCTCCATTTTGTGTGCTGTGTCCATTATGCTTAGCGATTTGAGGAAATAATATGCATCCAATTTTCACAAGATGTCTTTATTTCTGTTGTATGTCAGCCTAACATGCACTGATTCATAATTGAAGTTGTTAGGTTCTGTTGTAGAAGAAAGCATGAACATCTAGCATGGTATCCCTGGTTTACACAAACCTAAGCTGACATTTTGTTTGTTCATGGTCACTTTTCAGTTCGCTTTCCTGAGGATTTGGAGGATGATAACACAACATTTAATCCAGAGTATAGCCACCAAGTGTTTGGAGATGAGTAAGTTATGCTATGAGTACCCGGAGCTATTAGGAAGCAACCTCCCTTTCCAGATCTGTCAAAAATCAGGAAACACTGCTTTACCAAGCTAACTTAAAAATGACCCAGCAATACTTCAATTTCATGACTGTAGAAGTTAGACAGTTGCCTTGGTGCCTAGCTTGTAGAATTTAGGCCTTTAATCATTCTGCACTACTTTTAAGAGATTAGCAGAGAACAACGTCTCGTTTTTGCAGTCAAAATCGCTTGTTTAAGCGGTTGTTGTGTTCATGACGTAATTCTAAGATTAAGAAAGAATCATTAATTCTTGCTAGAGAGTTTCACAGTAATGTGTGCCAGAAAAAAACAGTATTTAGCAACTGGGTATCCTTTTTTGTACTACAATACAACATGGAATTTTTAGCGAATAGAACATACAAGTGAAGCAGTAACTTAAATTCAGGTTCGAGCTGAATTCTGTTCTAGCTGATTGAATGTTATACTAAATTACAAGGTTTTTTTTTTTTCTTCAAATACGTTCACTTGTAACCAGGTACATATGGAAGGGGATACAGAAACTGTAGAAGAATATTGTTTCAGCTTTTTTCGAGTATACTGACTATCCTCAGTAGGTCAGTGTTCAACAATCTGACCACAGTTCGTTTAAAGCATGTGCATGCACACATAGCTTCTTAATTTCAGATTTCTTTAAAAAGCATTCCAAGTACTCCAAGTTGGATGAGCTATGTATATTAATTGTCATAAAAATAGTTACACCGGTAAACATTTGTTACTGCAGCTATCATTAAGCATACTTACACTTTTAGTAATGAGAAAATTCTCCAATCGAGCATAACTAATAGGCAAATTCTTGCTCTGACTGTTATATGTCTAAGTTTTAAATCAGAAATACATTACCATAAAAGAAAAAGCTCAGTAAAAAAAATTTTAAACAATACCTTAAAATAACATGAAAATCCTGTTTCTCTGTAAACAACCATTTTCTGCAGTTCACTTTTCTTTGGAACAAATTCCTTAAATTTCACAATAGTACAGTGGTTATATTCAGGCATATCATACTTATGTGTAAAAAGGCTTCTTTATTTGTGGCTCTTTTTTGTGTTTACTTGGTTCTGGTTAAGTCAGATAACTATATAGGAACTTTTCACCAAAACACACTTGTTATTAACAATGACTGGTTTTCTACCTGTGTTTTATATGGTATCACTTGCAGCTGTGTAATCCAAAATACAGACTACTAAACTGCAAAGTAAGCTTTAATAGAAGTAACTTCTTAATTTTAATGTTTATGAGCTTAAGATACTGAGAAACGTAAATGAAATACTAGCTATTCCAGTTCTTTGTCTTTTATGGGTTGTCATAGTACATGTACAGATGCTACCTTCTTGTTCAGAGACTTGCTCTATTTTTCCACTAGAGGAGGAAAATGACCAGTAGAAAAAGTGTAAGGCGTTATCTGTCTAGATAGTACGCATCCAGTTTGATTCCCTTTTCCTATTAGAAGGCTTTAGTATGCTTCATGGGGAAAGAGGATGTGAACTTTAAAGCTTATTATATGAAAGTTTTGTGATGTGAATGTTTTCCTGTTAAACTATAGCTCTGATCACTCTTTTTTTTTTTCTTTCTCAGTGAAGTTGCCTTTGGTTACAAGGGTCTGAAGATCCTCTTGTACTATATCGCTGGTAACCTGTCAACGCTTTTCCGCATTGAGTATACGTCTAAAGTTAATGAAAAGTTTGACTGTGTAGAGGTAAAGAGAGAGCCAGACCTGTGCTTGAAATATTATTGGGAAGATTTGTAAAGGGATATAGACAAGAATTCTATATTTAATAATGTAATTCATGTCTGGGTAGGCAGTTAAAACAAATGGCCAACCTTCTTTCATTAAGTAGAAAAAGAGCTTGGAACTCATTCCTCATTGTTCCTTCTTTGACTGGAGTACAGTCAACACTGTCAATCAAACATGAGGTGTTAATATCAAGGCTGGTTCCACAAAAAAGATCCATCTAGCAAGTCCGTATTTTCATGTTAACTCAATCCAGGAGGAAGACTAGCAGTAGTGTTTTTCCATGTTGAAGAAAATCCAGTTAGAAAAGTGTGTGTGGGCAAGGTTTTTTGGAGGGTGGGGACAGTGTCCACCACCACCACCACCACCACCACCACATGATGTAGGATACTTTACTGTGTCTCTTTAAATGGCAAATGTGGAGAGCAAGATTACGCAGAAGCAAGATTGGAAACTTCCCATAGTTTCTGGTTAGGTATCATGTGTGTGTTCCATCTCACTTACAGGAACCCAATTACATGCAAGATGTCATCTTTGTTTTTTGTGAGCAGCTTTTCCAAGGTTACAGAGCGCTTGTAGAAAAACTTACCTCTCCAGCCCACTCTTCTGCCTTATATGCTCTTGGAATACTTTTGTGAGGTAGCTCCACAAAAGATAAGTCAATCGGTCTTTCATCTAGCTGAAGAAAGATATTTGGAACTTATACACTTGCATAAAATATTAACAGTTTTGTAAACATGGTTAAGAATGTATTAATACTTGTACAAGTACCAGTGCAGTTATTAAGGAAAAACTGAATTTTTTGAAGTGGTCTCTGATGCATTAAAAAAAACTGCCATCAGAGTTTTAATTAGATACAAGAAAAAAAAAAAGGCTGAATTGATTTCCTTTCCCTTCCCCCCCCCCCCCCCAGCCCCCAACCTATTGATTTGGTTATTGATGAATCTTTATAATGTTCTGTAGTGTAAAAATGGCTATACACTTGCATTAGCTTTAGATTACTCTGCCTGGAAAAAAGCTGTTCATTAGTTCAAAAAAGTAAACATCTTTGATTTCAAGCTGTATTTAAAGATCCCTATGTCAAACTCATCAGAGCTTATGTAAATATTCTCAAGGAAAGACTGATTTAATTCTTAAAAAAAAAAAAAAAAATTGGAATGACTTTTAGATGCATTTGGTAGATCTGCCCTTCCTTGTTCTCAAGTTGTTTTAGAATATGGTTAGTTCAACAGGCTAAGTGCCTGGACATGTCTGACATACTTTTGAGACTAGGGCAACATATCTCACAAGTGAAAGGTCATGCTCTTCAGTCTTCCTAAGGTTTTTAGAAGTAAGGAGAAAAGGCATGCCTTTTCTCAAGTAGTAACCATATTTTAAAAAGCAAACAGAAAACCACCTCCCAGTCCAGGCTTTTACCAATATAACTTAAAAATGGTATCACGAAAGGAATCCATGCCACAACACATTTTTATTAGCCTTCTATCTATGCTCCGTAATAACAAAGCCAGTTCCCTTCTCTGGAAGTACAAGGAAGGCAAACAAGGCCCGTTTTGTCCTAAGCATACTCGTTAACTTTTCTGATCACTCAAAATCCTTGCTTCTGCCAAGCCCTGTGTTGCATCTACTGTATTATTCCTCTGATTGCTTAAGGGATTGTGACAGGGACAAATAAAGAGTATCTGTTTCAGCTAGCCTTTTGTATGGTCTTCCCTGAAATCTTGACAGGCTTTAGCTGAACTGGAAAAATGTGATAGCTTACCCTGTGCTTCCGTCAGTATGATTATAAAAGACTGACCATCCAAATATGTTGCTTGTTTGGATATATCTAAACCTTAGTAGGAAAAAATATGGTAGTCATCAGTTTAGTTCTGCATTTGTATTTGCCATTAATTTAACCACCTTAAAAAAATGAACACTTCAGTTATCTGTTTGAATTTGCAGGGATTGAAACATTAGCTGTCATCACAGCAGGGTGGTAATTCAAATGCATATTGACATTTATGTTTCTACGTTAACTGCTTAGCTGCTGATCTCAGCTCATTCAGGATAATAAGACATGAACTATCCACGATGCATGACAGGTAATCTTTGTGCTGTGAATAGAGGGTGTTTTGGAGAGGACAGCAATCTGTGCCTTTAAGTTAACTGGCTGCAAGTGAGAAGTCAGTTTTAATACTCTGCAAAGCTCTTCACGCTTTAGGAATTTGTGTCTGTATCCCCACACAAGCTCATTCCACAGCAGGTGGTTTTGTTCTCCAGTAGTAAGTTTGGTTCCATTTTTGCCAAAGCAGCTGCTACAGTCTCTCCTAGAGACTGACAGAAATATTTGCCCAAATCCCATTAGTTTTTCTCCAAGATATCAAAGATATGGTAAAAGATGAGATCCTATATGTCAGGTGCCAGAACTCCATCCCTGAGGATGGACCTAAACCACATAAGTGGGGAAGACTCAGCAAAGCATGAGTGACTCAGCAAAGCAGGTCCTGAACAGAAGTGGACTCTTGGCGGGGAAGACTCAGCAAAGCATGAGTGATCAGGTCCTGAACAGAAGTGGACTCTTGGCTGGCACCTCATTCACTGAACAAGAATGGACAGAATTTATCCCTTGGGAGGAGCTGATCATTTCAAATATCTGAAGAGAACTGCTTTCTTCTCGTATAAATACGAATTACGTTGAATAGAATTGTCACTGATTGCGGATTTGCAGCTGTTTAAGTACCCTCCTCTTCATCTGGTTTTCATGGAAGAGGAGGGGGAAAAAAGTATTTCACTAGCCTCTGAAATAGTCTTTACCATAAATGTATCATCTTGCTTTGCAACTGGTTTAATCTTTCTGCTTCGGTACAGAAGTTAATGAAATGAAGGCATAACTTCTATATTGGACATACTCTCATTAAGCAGGATGACTTCAGATTATTCCACTTCTCCCAACTGAAACTAATACAAATAATAGTTATAGAGAAATTCTTTGAAAGCAGAATTTCTCTGTAATTATTTTAAAAGCAGCCACTTTGTATACCACTTGCATACTGCTTCAAGTATTTTAACTGCCTGCTAGTACAAGAATCATCTGTGTTTGATGCTGGATAACTTTAATATAATGTACAAATGGACAATACCCATTTAAGTAGTCCTATTACAAGCCAGGTTTGGTTTACAAGTCTGTACCATATTTCCCATCACCTCACATGCTTCTGTTTACAAAGGTAATACATTGCAGGCAATACTTTTATAAACCATAAACTTAACAACTTTGTCATAACATGCTTTGCCTATGTTGACTGTTAGTCAAATGCATTTTTTTCTGAACAGAGTGCATTAGCACAGCCAAATACAGCTATGTATAAAAATACCTGTGCTGCTTTGACTACTAGAAACAATAGCTATTTCTATCGCGTTACATGGGGGATAACTTATTTTCAGGGTAGTGGACATGTGCAGTGAATAAATGGTTTGGGGATGGAGGATAACAAACAGTATCTGCTGGAAAGAAAAAAAATCAGAATTTCTGGAAATTTCAGGTGTGTGTATTCCCTGGCTGCTTCATGCAAATACCCAGTAAAGGCTTTTCCATTAAATTTAAATTTTATATGTTGCTTGGTCCAAAGCATAGGAATAAAGATGGCCAAAGCCACGCCAAGTGCTAAGACGAGTGCCTTGCTTTTGTGAAAGAAACAAACCTCTCACTAATTTCAAAGAAATACATAAGGGAAAAGCAGTAAACATATTTCAATAACTCCTTAAACTGCTAGCACTTCAGAAAGAAGTGTATGGGAAGTGCTTAGTATGTAATGGATGTTTCCATAAAAGAGTACAAATACTAATAAAACAAACTATTTGTATGCTAGTGATGTTTCCAGATTTCAGTACTCCATGACTCACTAACTTAACATTGGATCACTTAAATTTAAGCCACTGCTCAAACTGAGGATTCTGGGACTTCCTCTGTAAGAAATTGAGATCTTGATAACCCATAAAAATAATGGAAGAATACAATTTCTTTCATTGCTTAAGTTCTGCTAGGCTCCATCTCAAGGGAAGGTTCTCAGGCAGGTAGCAGGAAAGAAGACATTGCAGTCATAGTACTAAGAATTATCTGTTGTTTTATCTGCTAAGTCTCTGATCTCATGATTTAATTCTGTTTTATGGAAAGCAAGATTTTTTTCCTGTGGTGGCAGTCAGTGAGGGCTGCATCTCACGTGCTTTCAACACATGAAAGTTTGTCTTCCTTATCGCTGGTAGATGAAGAAACTTGCAAATGTGAGGGGAGCGAAGTTTTAGGTGTATATCACATATAATATTCCATACTGCATATTTAATCTTTTTAGATGTTTTCCACATAGTCTGAGTTATTGCAAAGATTAGCTGAATGGATCCTTGCAAGTTGTTCTAATTCTAGATTATTTTTGTATACAGTTTTCAGATGTTTAAAATGAAAATCACTATGGATTCTTAGTTGCGATTTCCTACAACTTTTATCAGCAGGGCAGACTTAAGATCTGTGTAAATAATGCACTTATATAGTTGAAAAAAGCAAAATAAACTTTCTGAAATGTTGTTGCATGTATTCTTTCCTTATTACTTAACATAATTAATTCATTGATTCTGCAAAAATATTGCTATTTTTGCATCACCCAACAAAACCGGCAAATGTGAAGAAAAACTATTTAACCAATATTGCTTCAGAAAGAACAGAAAAGGTTCCAATAAATCCATCTTCTTTGTTTTTAGGATGAAATAGATGTAAAGATTGTATGCGTTCAATTGGTTTCTTGCACCAAGTATTGTACAGCTATATTTTAACTGCTTAATAGCTCTCTCTACAGATATAAATATAAATGTTGGTAGTACCAAACCATTAAGAATAAAACTTGTTTGTGCTGAACTACATCCATCTTTCTCTATACTAAAAATGTAACTGAATGATAAAGTGCTATTCATTTGCAGGTGCATTGCTTCTACTTAAAGGACTATGGTTGAAAGGACAGGAATTAGTAGCATGTTGTATTAGCCTTTTGTAGTGTATTTTGTTCTAAGCATCTTAATTTCCCTGTTTTGAATGCTAAGTAGCAAGGGTCTTGGTTTAGAACTAATACCCATCATGCATGTAAACGGTGTGAAAGAGCTGCTTAGTAAGTTAACACAAAGTGTTCTTGTGTCAGTCCTTGTGGAAATAGATACAATACAAACATTACAGCTGAACTCACGGCAAACTCCATTAAGTAAAAACCTGGGTTCATTGTCTGGAGGAAAGTTTGAATTGAATGTAAGCTCATTTTGTTGAATGTAATGTCAGGCTTTTAGGAGTTGTATGGAGGAGTATGGTTTTGTTAAGTTGAGACCAATTCATTAAGTTTTATTGCCTGGTGAGAAGCAGTAATACGTTATTGTGAAACTTCATCAAATATTCATGGTTAAAAAGAAGTAGTAAATGTATTCAATCAAGTGGTCTTTTTGGGGTCTGAAAAGGATTATGAAGTCTGCTCAGCAGATAGTCTCTAACTTTCACTTTGGTTATTAAAAAACGGTAATTTTAATCTCTGAATTTAATTTTACTGTCAGAATATTTCTTCCCTCCCCAGTATGGTAGGTTACAGATCAAATTTGCTGACAGTATCCCTAAATCATATTTTTATTAATTTATGTTGAACTTGTTCTCAAAGTGTTCTTTGATTAGGATGCCAGATGTTGTCTTCTGAGTTTGTAATGTATTTTATGGCTGATCCTATAGGCAGGCATTTTAAGCAGAGAGATATAAAGATGCAAGCGTGTGCTAGCTGTCACTCTCCTGTTTGAGGACTACCATTTTTAGTTTTTGTCCTGTTTCCTCCACCCCAATCCTGCATCACCTACTATCTCTTGTTAGCTGCTTGTTTGGGAGCTGCTTGTGTTCCACGAGGCTATGTAGCATAGTTCTGGAGAATTTGCTGGCTGAAAAGTCTTAGTTTCTGGTTCTAGTGCACTTTCAGAAATAAATGCATTGCATCCAATAAACTGGCAGCATTTCTTCTGTGTAACTGAATTCAGTTTCCTTCCTCATCTTGCCATTTTTGGTTTTCCTCCACGTAATATTTTTATTAGACTAGTAATCAGCACTTTTGATTTTTTTTTTTGATTGGACAAATGCTACAATCTCAAAGGACAAATGTTCAGGGCTCCTCTCCATCATTACCACTAAACTTATGCTGTAACTACCAGCTTTCTGATGCCATTGGAGCGGGATTGTGACCTTTTTGGATCCCTTCAGTGCAGCTCCTTTATCTGCTGGAAGGGTCGCTATTGAGCAACAGGAATACTCACCACTTTTTTTTTCTTTAAAATTACTGATAGGCCATACCACCTGCTTTTGTATTTGTCTCTAATGGAATAACAGCGACTTTGCTTCTGTCTTTTTTTTTTTATCTTCCACTGATCCTTCTCCCTCTTATATTCTCCAGGCAGATGATGTTGAAAGTAAAATTAGAGAAATCATTCCTCCTGGATTTTGCACCAACACAGATGACTTTGTGTCTCTGCTGGAGAAGGAGGTCAATTTCAAGCCCTTTGGAATGCTGCTACACACATACTCTGTCCATAATGAGGAAGCTGGTGAAGATATAACATATCAGATATACAAAGTATGAAAAACAGGTGAAATTGCTCCTTTTGAGCAGCCACATTTGTTTGTTTTGCAGCGATGCACTTTCAGTAATGTTTCAACTATAGCATATAAATATTTTACCAGTTTTCTTAATAATTATAAACATACTTGTAAAAAATTGTATATAGAATTTAATTAGGTTCTGCAGATTCTCCTCTCTTAATGTCTATGATAGGTTTCACCTGACTTCTCCTGGCTTTTTCCCTAGGCTGACATGACATGTCCAGGCTTTCAAGAATATCATGAAAGGCTTCAGACATTCTTGATGTGGTTTATTGAAACTGCTAGCTTTATTGATATAGATGATGAAAGATGGAACTACTTTCTAGTGTAAGTACAGTTCTAAAGCAACAGTGGACCTTATTACCTCCACAAAGCCTGCATTTTAATTGTGGCTGGCCAATTATTGGAGCAGTATAATGATATTTTTCCCAGGAAAGAAAAACCATTGTTTATGAGGCTTGAGTTTTCCCCCATTATGCTTTGGGAAGCCTTGAGAATAGAGCTGAATTAAATGCTGTTGTCCGTTAGAGCCCTGAATGTAGGCTTAAACAGTAAAATGAGCTTTGCCTGTGTTTTCTTTTACTTGCCACCTATTCATCTTTATAATAGGCAAGTGCACTGAAGTGCTGTAAAGAGGCCTGATTTATCCAAGTTGCTGCACACCAATTAAGTGAATTGTACATTCAGAACATAGCAGGTGTACCCATTGGGCCCTCACAGAGTAGCTTGCTGACACTGAAAATTCAGTTGGAGAATGGAAAAGAAAATGGACACTGCATGGGAGCGCGACTGTAATTGACCTGCTTGGCTTTCTGTTTTATCTGCAGATTTGAGAAGTATAATAAGGATGGAGCTACGCTCTTTGCGACCGTAGGCTACATGACAGTCTATAATTACTATGTGTACCCAGACAAAACCCGGCCACGTGTAAGGTAATTGGCGGCGTAACTCGTGCCTTGCCTTTTATTTCAGAAGAGGGAACTGCTGAAGTTCCCAATACTTGTTTATAATGGTGTTGATTTGTTTAAAAAAATCCCCATTATTAGCTGGCTATGCACTGATGTATTTCATTGTTCCCTTTCTGAAGCAGGGGGAATCTCAGACAAGTTTTGAATATTTAGCAATTTTAAGACTCTGTAAAATTTGTTAAATTTTAACATGAAGATTGCTAAATGTACTTTAATCCAAAATTAAGCATCACTTGATTTTTAACCCTTTATATTATAACCCTTTATATTATAATGTTTGCACATGTATGCGTTTTAACTGGAATATCAATACATATTCCTTTGTAGCCAGATGCTGATTTTGCCACCGTTCCAAGGAGAAGGCCATGGTGCTCAGCTTCTTGAAACAGTTCATAGATACTATATGTCTTCTCCTACAGTACTTGATATAACAGGTTTGTGTCAAATTCTTAGCTCAGTCTGCCTGTTTAATGAACAACTTGTAGCATTCACAGACTGTTAGCCTGCAAACTAACTTTTTGCATTCATTCGTCAGAATTAAATGGTCTTTTGAAGATTTAGTTTCGGCTCAGTTCAGGATTAATAGTACCCTGTTTTACAGAAGAACTGTATATAATGTAGTGCCTTAAATCCTTTACTTAGAACAGCACACCAGGAAAATTCAATCCCTAGCATGAACGGATTACCAGCTAATTAGCCATTTTATCGTGAGATGCACAGCTGAGTTAGCCAGGAGATCAAGCTTTCACAAACTCCTTGTTCAGCTTACTGCTGTTAACCAAAACTTAAAATTGAAAAATAATTTAAAATAACATAATATTAGTGTGCAAGCCGAAATTTTACGGCTAATTTTAAAAAAAAAAAAAAAACTATACCCGAATTGTGCTCCCCACGCCCGTATTGCTGACTCAAGATCCCTGTGATGTTATTATAGATGTGTACGTGAATACCTGACAATAAAAATGCAGTGGAAGAAATGGCAGATGGAGCAGAGGAAAACAGAGTGTGTATGCCTAAAATACAGGACACAAAAATGGCTACAAGCATGACATCTCTTCTAAGTCCACCATAGGAAGAAATGCAATTCAAACACATGAATTGATTATTCAATTCTAGGTGCTACCTCAGCACTTCATCTTAGTTAAAAACAAAAAAGCCCCCAAAATCTAATTGAAACACAATAGAACATTTGCTTTCATGATACATCACCTCAGGGTAACCCTAACATAGGGTAACAGCCTCCTAAACTCATTCAAAGGAACCTAGGGAAGTATAACTTCCTTTATGTAATAGGAAATCTTGCTCAAAGTGTGATTTCCCCTCCCCCTCCCCCAAAAAGCTCAATTAATATTACAAAGCTTTACATGGTTCTTATAACAATAACTGAAGATAAACAAAATTGTTCATGGCTCAGTGCATAAAAGGCAGGGTTGTAGTGAACAACAGCAAATTTGCCCTCACATAGGTTTTAAGTTCTTTATGAGAAAGGCTGCTATCTTTTTGCATGACATTCAAAAATTAAAGAAATTTAGGGTTTTTTAAATATTATTTATTGCCCTTTTTAGAGGAAAATCAGGCTGAACCTTAATATGAGCAGGATATTTAGTTATATAGCATCTAAAATTATGAAGTAAAAAAGTCTTTAAATCTCTCTTCCTCTTTTCAGAAAGTTTATTTAACTGCTTAGAACTAACATTAAGAAAAAATAAAAAGCAAGTTACTTCTGAGTTTCACACTTATAACGAATATTTTGTTCATATGTTTCTTTTCAAACTCAAGATCCTGGTTATAGCTTGTCATCTTAGCTGACACAAGTGAAATGTTGATAGCGCTTATTGTGGCGAAACTGCCCCCATCTTTCTTTTAACTAATTTGCGTGAAAAGGAATGGAATAAATTACTTTTAGTACAGCTTCTCCAGTCTTTTTCACAGACTGAGTGCTGTAAGACTTGTCACACAAGATTAGGCCACTCATCCACAAAGCGTTTTAACTGCTAATGATCATAAGCAATCTCCAAAACAGAAAATAAATAGCCAGTTGTACAGTGCTACATATATGCAGCAAAAACTTCCATCCCAGCCCTTCCTCTTGGTAACTTAGTAGCTTTTGAACATCCTTAAACTGTGAATGTCAACTATTTGCTATAATCCTTTAAAAAAAAAAATAAACAAAAACACAGCAAGGATATAAGCTGTTTAGCCATGAATTCCACAGTGCTAGTCCACAGGAAAAAAACTGGGGTGGGTGGGGTTTTTTGTAATAAACCTGTCTAAACGATTAAGAAAGTACCTTCAGAACATTGTAAGCACTTCCTTCTGTATGGTTCATAGCTGAGTACAAAGTTGCATATGTGACTATGTTGATATTCACTGAAGCTAATTCTTAATTTTTCCCCCCTATATCCGTTGACTTGCTAAAGCAATAGTTCTGATAGTTATGGTACCCTTAAGCAAGTTGCAGGTAACTGATGAAGTCTAGATTAGCTATTGCTTGGGTCCTTTTGACCTTTTTAACTAAAGACAATTTTGAATAAGCTTGCCCTTCAGGTACTTGAACCTTTCCTTACCTTCCTTGCTTTCAAAGACTACAGCTAGTGGTCAGTAAATGGCTTTGGCTAGCTTATTTGTATACCGTAGGATAGTTTCATCAGTTGCTTTCTACATAATTAGTTTCTCTCCTAATAGTTCTACTGCTTGGTATAATATTTAGTTGCACTGAAACTTCCTGAAAACCAAGAAACAGAGATATTAAATACTTAGTCTTCTCTGTCTCTTATCTTCTGCATTAAGTAGAGGACTTGCTTCTCTTTCTTAGTCTTAATTTTCAGTGTATTTATATATTTAAAAAAATCTTTTATTTTGCATTTGCTCCTTGTAGTGACAAGCAAAGTGAATCATAACATGAAGAATCACAGGCGTTTAGGCCAGGATGTGGCCAGGGTAAACTCCAGCCAGCTCCCCACTCCTGGTGATCAGGAGAACAGGATCCTGAAGCATACAATGGCATGTACTTGCCACTCAGTCTAGATGCAGTCTTGTTGCATTCTGATCTTTCATTTGCAAAAATGTGACTTATTACTGAGTTAACAGGCTCTTGTCTTTAAAAACTGAGCTGTTCCCTGTAGTTACTCTAATGTTTTTATTTGTCCAAAGGTAACATTAGACTTAACTGGCGCATTAACATTTTTCTATTAATAGTGAAGGATTAAAGGACATGTAGCTATAGTTACTGTGTTTCAAGAGTAGGCTCTCAAGATCAGGACTGAGGGATACTAGTAGAGTATTATACTGAGAAGTTAACAATGTTTCTGTCATTCGGTGCTTTTTCAGCTGATAGATTAGCTTTGCTAGGTACTCTTCTGGAAATGTTGAGTATATGAAAGGTATCTGGTTTAGAAAAGAGACCTCTACAGCTGACTCTTTTTTTTTAATACAATTATCAAGTTTTTCTCCTGTTGTCTCAGGAAGGCTGTAGTTTGCATCCTGCATCCAATACTTTGCTTGATATTTGATAGGCACAGTCTACAAAATGTGAACAATTGTGCATCTCTGTACTGTACTTCATTACAAAAGTGCAGGGTGTAAAATAGCTGCATGTATGTGTATATCTGTGTGGACCTGCTGGCTGACCTCTGCAAGCAGTTAAAGATGTAGGCAATTAGTGCCTCTTAGTATTAGAAGGATAGTTACAGAACTAAACATTCAAGATTGCATAGGCCAATACAAAATTGCTCATGTTCTTAAACATCAGCTGTAGGCTTACCTGTCCTCAAATTGTTAAGATTCTGCTGAATTACAATATAGTCTTACCAGTATAGAAACTAATAACAATATAAAAACGCAACTAGTTGTTCCTTTTCAAAAGTAAATATTTTACTTATCTGTCCAACATTTTAATTCGTGTGAAAGCCATCCTTTCATACTTTGTATTGCAACAGCAAAGACTACTACTAAACATTGGAAGTGAGAATCTGGATTTAAAGCAGGTAAGTTAGGTAGTGGTTGATTAAGATCAAATTTGATTAACTGAACTTGGTATACTTGGTATATAAATTCTATCTGTGAAACCATAAAATCTGGCTGGCTGAGCCTCTGGGTTGCGTCTAACACCCAAGGGTAGACAGAATACACAAGAGAAAGGGTTTATGCATGAAATAATACTATGGTCTTTTCCCTAGAAGTTAAACTGGATCAGTTGAACATGTATACTGTTGATCTCTTAGAAATATGATATAATGCTATATACAGTACTGCATACGTAAAATATTAGAAGTTATTTTTCTGCAATCTTTCAGCTTCTACTATCATACATCAAAAAAACTGGCTAGCACTGCTCATAAGTAAGCACAGTTGCTGCCATACTAAGGAATATTGTATCTACTTTTGTTTCCTGTTTGTTGTAACTGTATGAGAGAAGAGGAAAGACAGAATGCTGATAGTAACTACATGCTTTTGTATTTTTTCTCTAGCTGAAGATCCATCTGACAATTATGTAAAGCTAAGAGACTTTGTTCTTGTAAAGCTCTGCCAAGATCTGTTCTGCTTTTCCCCAGAAAAGTTAATGCAAGGTTTCAGCCAAGAAATGGTGATGGAAGCCCAACAAAAGCTGAAAATAAATAAGGTATTTAATCTGAACAGTTTTAGTTGAACCTATTCTTATCAAGCTAGTATAAAAGTAATTTAGACATACAGGTGAAGACTTGTAATTTACTTACTCTGGCTTATTTCAGCATCAACAGATCTTTAGGACGTAGCTGGAAGTGAAATACCTAGCTCATGGTTTTAGATAAATGCCTTTTCTTTCCTGCATCCTTTCCTGTTGATATATTCTAATACATTTGACCTTGATGATCCTGAAAAAAATTGAAACTATACAAAGTGAGTGATGTTTGGAAATACAGAACACTAAAATAGCAGACAGCTGCTACTAAGGCAACTCTAAACACCTGGAGAACTAAACAGTTGAATTAAACAATTAACCTCACTGGTAACCTCCTCACTGAGTGATTAAACTTGCTAGTGAATATGGTGGTTGAAATGCAGAGGTGCTTAACTCAAATATATTTGAATGTAGTTTTCTGAAAACTTTGAATGTGACTTGGGGGCATTGTCAAAGATATTTATGATAATGTTATAGCTTGTATAGGAAAAGTATGCCTGCAGCTTTTTTCCATGTCTGAGAGCTTATACTTGAATGGATACATATGTTGTTGTTTTTTAATAGTATCTAAACATGTATTAGTAAGCATAGCAAATGAACCATCCCATTTTTCATTCTTTTGATGAAGCAAAAGAATTTCTGGTCTTAAACTGTTCTAATACAGATGCAATAGTACTATAGCAGCAACATGATTCCGCCCCTCCCCCCCCCAACATGTGATACTAGCAGATTGTGGTTCCAAAATCATGTCAATTTTCTTCTTACCAATTCTTTCATTCATGAACTTAAACACTGCTGTTGCATTTTCATATTTACAGCTTCTAGGGAGCCTTGTGAAGAAAGCAGTAGGTATGTAGAGGGTATTACAACACAGTACCTCCTTCACTAGTTTGGATGGATTGTCTAATGACAGTCTAGTTCCAACCCTCTGTCAGCTCTTTGAAGAGCTCCGGCTTCTGGACTTTCTGCTGCTCCCTTAAAACAGGTTTTGCTGTCCATAAAGCAGCCCTTCAGCTGGTACAACAGATGGTGACTGCATGAAATTGTCTACTCATCTAACCAATTGGCTAGGAGCATCCTCTTCGGTGCTTCTGACAGGCTTCTGACAAACTGAGCAACTATTTTAATGTTTCTCCTCTTTCTAAACTGCTACAGACTGACTTCTTAATATTCAGGCATGTTCTTTATTCTCCTTTCTATTCATTAGCAACACACAAGACGAGTTTATGAGATTCTCCGATTGCGTGCAACAGATATGGGTGATGCAGAGCAGTCCAGAAGCTATCGGTTGGACGTTAAAAGAAGATTGATTGGCCCCTATAAGGTGTATATGACTTAAGTATACTTATTTCAAGACTAATTATACTTGATTTTACTTTCATTTCCATAAATGTAGTTGATGCCAATTATGTTGCCAATCAACTGCTATTAGTTATGCAGTGTTTAAGTGACATGTACACAGATGCAGGGAACATTCATACATAGCTGTGTTGAAGATTGTGTTTGGCTCCTGAATGTTACCTGCCCAGTTCCAGTAGGAAGTTATTACTGAGCTTACAGTATCTAGGTACAGATCACATTATGTCCAGATGAGCTTAAGAAAAAGTCAATTCCTTAAAAAGTTTAAAATGTCTAAAATAAAACAAGAAAAGGTTGGAGAAGAGAGGTAAATGTTACAGTATGCTTACACTACAGTTTAGATTGCTATTCTAGTTGTTAACTAGTTCTTAAGACAACTTGCTAGAAGTAATCTACTACTCATGGCAGCACGGAACTCAGTGCTGTTGGAATATAAAGTAATTCCAGCAATAAAGTTCAAGCAAGCTTTAATTAACTTGGAAGGAACTGAGGAAGTTGCCTTTCACAAAGTATGCTCCTCAAGATCCTCAATTCGGCACGTTTGGTTTATCTTGCGTAGACCTGAGATACTGGTAAAACAGATTATCCTCCAGTTGTTAAGGGCATCAGTCTCTGTATTAAGAGTTGAAGGATTGCAAATTTGACCTAGGTTTATTACAGCAACTAGCATGTTAGCTATTCTGTGCTGTTCAGTATTCGCTGAGCAAACCTAAGCCTTGTTGTGAAGGTTTCACGAAGTGCAAGAAAATGCCTTGATTAGATTGCAAGTCCTCCTAAAGCAGTTCTCATCCTGTTAGACCGAAATGCCAAAGTTTGCTTTCCAGAGGCCCCCTGATTTTCATTTGTAGATGTGAGACTACGCTGTCAATAAAGCAAAACTTTGAATGTACTAAAGTTGGACGTCAGGGGGCCATTAGCAGAAATGATAAAACAGTACTGCATTAAATACTTGGCTGATCTGGCGATAACACCGTGTTCTGCTGAGCGTCAGGACCTTAATCAAAAGACCTTCTGTTCCCTTCCATGAGTGTCTCGTCTCCTTTGCTAGATTTCACTCAGTATCCACTATAAATAAGGCCATGATTCTTCAGCTAGGGGATTTATGACATGATTCTGATTCATTTGTTCTGCACTGAAGTCATATTGGGAGGTATTCAGTTTCATAAGCAACTTCAATTCTAGTGCTGCTAACAAGTGTTTCCATTTTAGTCTATGTTCTTAATAAATTAATGCAGATGTGTTGCTAGATAAGCAAGAGAGCTACTTTGCTGTAATATTGCTAATTTTAAATTTCAGAATATTGCAAGTTTAACTTCTCAATTATAAAGTTGTTTTCAAAAGAATCCTCAAAGCAGCCAACACCTCTCCCTTGATTCAGGTTAAGTTTCATGTTGTGAAATATGGCTAGCTTGATTATGGCAGTTTTCTCTAGTGAGCAGCTTATAGGCTTATTTTAAACAATGTTTCCAATAAATTCTAGTCATGCTGCTGTTTTACAAAACCCGATTCAGAACTGCAATTAAACTTACTCTTAAGACGTGGTAATCTGGAGAGGGGAAAGAAAGCAACTTTGATAAAGAATGAGAAATAATGCAACATTCTTAATTCTGGTATCATCTAAATGCTACATTTTTTTCATAAAGCACTTGATATCTTCATTTGAATAGCGCTGTACAGATACAGAATAATTCTAAATTGCCCTTAACTCTCAAGTTAGTAAGTCATATTTCCTCTTACAGCTTTTTCCTAGATAGCGATAGCACAAACAACTTGAGTGCAGAAACACAAAACCAAAAATCTTGTCATACTTCTCTTCCCCTTGAAGTGTCCAAGTTAACAAGGAGACTGTCATTAAAAATACTGAGCTTCTTGTTTCTACTGCATCACTAGACTGGAGTGGCTGATAGAGCCAACTCACTCTCTTTGTATCAGTACTACTACCTCCTTCACTCTAACAATTTTGTTCTAGGAAATAAAAGATTTGGTATCCTAGTGAACAGGACATCACACTAAGGTAGTTCAGAAGGTGAACAGCTTGTGAAATTTTTACAGACTCTTTGATTATAGCATCAAAATAGGAAAGACTATCTACAGGCTAAATATCTTTAAAAAGCTTTGATTGTTGAAGCATAGAGAACTTCTATAGAACAAACAGGGAACTCTGGAGAGAAGAATGCTTTATGCCATAATGTAAAAACTACTTAGTGGAGAGTATCTGTATTCAAAACAAACTCTGCTTTGCTGAGAATTCTTTACTACTTTGTCTTACAAGGCCAATGCACAGCATTCAGTATATCAGCTGAATAAAAATACATTTGGAGTAAGAAACACCTCAAAATGCTCTTGTAATTAAGTAAGAAACAGGTAAACTGCATGTATGTGGCAAACAGCAAGAGGCACCCTCTGCTGTTTGTGTATACTAGTATGTTTATGCTTGTAAGTAATTTTATTAGTGTATTTCAGTGCTGTTATTGCTTAGTCCTGGTAACTTTTGAATCATTTGTAACAATTCTTGAAATGTTTTCTATATACTGGAGGCTTAAAATTAATTTTTGGTCAATTACAGGAAAATAGTTGACTAAAGAGACCTAATGAATACAAGCTTGATTAATATCAATATAGAGCTAATACATTCTGGTCAATTTTCTGTAATCTAGTTTTTCATGCCATTTTTCTTGGTAATAGGAGTACCATTAGGCCTAATCTGTTTGCTTAAGAAAAAGAAACTTAAAATTTTCACTTTATTTTTTATTTCTGCTCAGTAATACAGAAACTCTGAGGCTTTAACAGAAAAGATTTTCTAATCTACCACTATTACCGTTTTTTTTAGGATTAGTAACATCTTAAAGAACTCGATACTGAGATCGAATAAATTTAATGAAATACTATACTATTGATGATACTGGTTGTGTTCAAACTGCTGTTTGTTTAATTGCTTAGAAAAAGCAGAGAGAACTTGCCAAGATGAGAAGGTGTCTAAGACCAGAGGAGCTGACGAATCAGTTGAACCAAATAGACCTAAACATGCAGCATGAACAGTTAGAAGAGAGCTTCCAACAACTTGTTTCAGATTACCGAAGAGTGTTAGAACGACTTGCGCAAGCATGAAGATCCTACCTTTTCTTTACAGAAAACTTGCAAATTTCTATAGTGTTGTGAAGCACATCCTTAATTGCTACTTAATTGCAAAATCTCATGTGACGTTTTAATCACATTCAGGTGACTTGTGTTTCTGTGCATTTTGAATATTTTCTATTTTTGTGTTGTAGATTTTAAAATGTACTCTAGGTTTGAGGGCACTTATTGCTGAAATAAACAATGTAGATTCTCAGACACAGTTAACACTGCTATTGTTTGAATTTTTTACCCTTCTGTTTTACCTTAGGACTTAACAGATATCTGAATGGCAGGTTAGCACACAAATCTAAGTGATAGTTGTATTACAGCTCTGTTAAATCTCCCTTTAACATGATCCTCCTCAGGCTGCTGAACTGGATTCTGTTGTGTGCCTGTAGGCCAGTTTTAATGTGGTATGAAGAGGCTAAAACACTACCTACCCTTTTTTAAATCTGTCTGGCATGCTTTGAGTACAGGCTCTTTACCCTTACTTAGAAGTGGATCCTGCTGCATTTAGCTGTCAGGACCCCTTCTACTCCAGCTTCTAAAGGGCTTTGAGTATATTCTTTTTCAGATCCCAAAGTCTGTAGGCTGATCACTTCAGGCAAATATCTCACAGTTGAGGAAACAGCCAAGACTTTGCAAGGACTCCAAAAGTACTCTCTCTTTTAGTTAGCATAGAAAACATACAAATCTGTAAGGAGGCAAGTACCTACATCTAGTTCCTTGACTCTATTTTGCTGTTATATCTTGGGCTTCGGGTTAGTTGTCTTAAGAATCCTGATTCTTTCTCCCTCAGAGTGATCCATTGCATGCTATCTTTTCTTGAGGTTCAGGCTTTAAAACTTATTGCCTTGCCCTATAGCCAAGAGGACTTTATTTGAATGAAGATCACTGAAAATGATTAACCATGTTTCATAGGCCCAATGGTTTCAGGTTCAGCTTTCATAACTGACATTTGTAGATTTGACAGTTCTCTATAAACATCTGATTATGATGTGAAGAAAAACTGTAATGTTTTCTTACTGTTAATTTTTTTGTATTTATTACTAAGTCTTTTTTAGCAACTCTCACTGTTCTGGCTGGGACATCTTATCTGTGTGATACCATAGGTCTCACCTATTCATAGTATCCAAATCTATGACATTCATTAATAATAAAATTAAAAAAAAAAAAAACAAAACTATCCTGACTGCATTAGTAAACCTTAAGGTAATACTTTTTTGTTAAACATGTTCCAAGTGCTGGTGATAACTCAGACGAGGGAAAGCTGAGTTGAAGAACTATGTTTTAATTTGGTTTTTGCCCAGAGAGCTGGGATACTTCTTGTGTCTCTAGGGAGGTCTGCTGAAAATGTTAAATGCTAACGCTGCCTGATCTTTTGCCTTACTGAGGCTGGAGCCGCTCATGAGATGCAAGAAGCTTGAACCTTTTAAACTGTTGGGCTAACAAGAAAAAAACAGCTTTGATTAGCTGTTTGTTCATTAATAATGCTTGACAGTACTTTCTAAGTTATTTTTCTCACAGGAGGGAATGGAAAGCTGGAAGAGTCTGGCAATTCTGCTTCTTTCTTCTTTCTAGTACCAGATGTGGAAAGGGAAGGGAGACGTGGCTGTTATCTCCAGGTTACACGGATGTTCCAAAAGGGATGAGAAATAACATGAGACCTAGAACTTGATGTCAAAGGTAGTAAAGATTGCCATATTTAATTGATGGTGGGGAACAGATATGAAAGAAGCTACTGAGCCAAAAGGACAAAATCACTTTTCTTAGACAAATAGTGTAACTTCTCTTGCACGTTGGTTAGGGCAGATTAATCCTTTCATAACCTGCTAGGGTTTTTTTCTCCTTGTATGTTGACAATATGTTGAAGGAGTTGCATGAACTGCTGAATCCAGTTTCCTAGTGATTAAGGTACTGCCTTAGTTTCAGCATGGTTTCTCATTTCAGGATAGTCTGGGTACATCTGGAACAGTCTAAAGTCTGTTGGGATGTATCAGTATGCAACAAAATTTATGACGTGGTTTACAGGAACTGTCTTGCTACTAATTATGGGCACCAAGTCTGTGAATAAACAGCCTCTTAGAGTAGAAACTGAATTCTGCTATCCTGCAGCAGATTACAGCTTCTACAGTACTGCTGCCAGGAAAGACTATGTGAGTACTCCCTACTCCATTACAGTTAATTAACCAATTATCTGAAACTGCTGTCATCAGTAAATTAAACTAGCCCTTCTGACTTTGCCTGAAGTGGTCTAAGAAGCGTCTGGACTATCCCTTGGCAGAGCAAAAGAAACAATAATTTGCATAAAGGTGAGGTTTAACAGCTGGAGAACAGTGATAGTTTAGCTGACACTATTACTTGGATGGCATGTCTAGCAGTTTACTTCTGCAGAATTTTGGGGCATGTTTGCTAGAACTAACATTTTAGAGATTAAGCATTAATGGTAAAGTTGACTAAGCACTTGGATTTCAGTGGATGTTACTAGATACGCTCTTACCTTTCTGACTTGCCAGTCTAGATATGTTTCCACAGTTTCCAGTGGTTTCTATATATTTTACTATATTTAAATACTTCTCAGTGTACTATAGGATATAGCATAATTATCACTGATACTGTTTGACTTACATGCTGAAAAAGGACCTATGAACTAATGCCAACTGTCTACATAGATTTACAGTTAGATAACTTTAGGGGGGATAGCCAATTTGTAGATTTGTTAGCAGACACAGGAACACCTAAGCTTAGTAGCTGTTTTTCAATTCTGTAGATTTTAGCAAATAGGAGTGTAGGAATTAGACAGTTGAAGCTGAACACTATTACAGTCCTCTCCTACGCTGGGCACAATATGACAGTAAAAATAATGCTGTTTAAAAATGAGTTTTGTTCAAGTACATCGTCTGTTATCCAAGGCTTCTTCTCTTAGGCTGCTATTGTGCTTCTTTTGAGTTATTACATGTTAACAGGAACTTAAATCAAATACTAATGTTATTTAATTTCCTGTGTGACTTTTTTCCCCCATTTGGACTAAATCCAGATTCCTTAGTCACTTCACTCAAAGATCAAGTGAAACTTTGCACCACATATTGGTACAGAATTTTAAAAGTTTGGTGCATTTGAAATACTCATGAATTTTCAGCATACATGTTAAGATCTGAAAGTATATTTAAAGTTTTTCATTGCAGATGCTTCAGGCTGCTGCTCTTATCTTTCCATCACTTAAAAAATACAGTCACAGCAACAGTGAAGGCACTTTAGCAAAAATTAGTGAAGTATCTTCAAAATTGTGAATCTAGTTCCATTGGTAGAAAGAAATTTTGTTTCTGTGCAAAGCTATTGTCAATAGCACCATTCCAAGAATAACGGTTTTTCACAGCGTGGCTTTTTTTCTAATGATGATGCCTCAGAACATAGCTTGACTGTGACATACCAGGTAGTAGGCAAAGCTATGAGTTAGAAAAACAGTTTTTCTCTTTGAACCAACAAATATATTAAACCCCAAATCTCAGTGTTTTATTTCGTAGTGATTTTTTAATAAAAACGTTGAAAGAGGTGAGACTATATATAACAGCAAGCTTAGTAAAAAGAATTAAATATTTTTTGAATAATCCGATTCCTCTGCTTACCTGAGAGGTTCTAAGTTTATAGTTCCATGTTTCCTTTGCAACGGTGGAGGACTTTGTAAGTGCCTAAAACAGATCAGGAAATGAATACGTCTTAAAAACATTATAATTCAAATATTTAGAAGGAGGGGATGTGAGAGAAGTTCATTCTAACTGTATTGCCTGATAATCCAACAATGCTCCATCTTAGCAAAGTCAGGAGCCAAATCTTATCCCTCACAGCCAACTAAATGGCCTCTGAGAAAGACATTTAACAACTGCCCTGCCTTTATGGGGCAATTATGTGGAATTTTACACACCAATTATAAAATTAGATCAACTTGTTTCTTTGCAAAATATATTGGTTTTGAAACTCTTTAAAACATTTTTTAAAACATACTTTTGTATATTTGATTACAAAATATTCCTAGAAGGAAAAACGATTCTTCTGCCTTTCTGCCACCCCACATACACAGGGCCTTAAGAGGGACTAACCAAAGCACAATGAGAAGGCATTGCATTCTATTCTCCCATGCTTCAGGTAGTAAGAGATGTTTTGAAGTGAACGTAAAACCAGAAAGAAACTATGCTGAAAACCGACTACTCAACCTTTGCAGCACTTAATGCCCCCAGCTCCCCAGCTTGCAATAATTTCAGTATTTGCCACATTCCATGAGGAATCGCTACAGAACCCTGTCACTTCCAGAACGTGGTACTCCCAAAATGTTATTTGTCTTTTTAACCTCTCTCACTTTTGATTTTACCTGGGCCAGCGAACTAAATTCCCCTGATGAATTTTATATTCCTATGTTTCTATACAGGCAGACAACTTGCCTCTCCTCTGTATCTTTCTCTTAGCGGTCCTCAAAGGATGCTTGATTCAACTGAGACTCTGTAGCCTTATTGGATATGTAACCACAACTAGGAAGTTATTCAGAACTCCGCTTCTCCCAGTCCCCGTATACCTACTACCCAACCAAATTCATTCTTTTTAATAGAAAAAGCTGCACTGCACATAGGCATAAAACATCCAAACATTCAAAGAGCAGAGATACAGAATGACTGTGAGCAAATCTAGCCTGCGTGATCATCATCGGTGCATGGAAATATCCTAAGAGGTAAATCAAGTTCTGAAAAATGCTTATATTTAGAAACTAAGATCAAACTGTTTCCTCTCATGTATTTTGAAACATAAATGTTACCTACTTCAGAAACCAGGAAACAATTAGCTCAACAATAAATAATGTGCAATCCAACAAAATACCTATGGTTTCAAAACTGAGAAAGTAAGCTACCTGAAGTTACGGGATTTGAAGGATGCTTAAAGCACTGTAATAGGAGGAACAAAGGTCTATATAGTTGAAGCAGTATCTTGGGCAGCAAATGTTCATGCCTCCTATGAAGAAACACACAAAGCTGCTATGTGGCAGTTCAGGCAATTCAAGACTGACCTATTGTCTCTCTCTGCAATGTCAGCAGGGGGGTAAGCAGCCTACAATGTCTATACGAAGGATTTGCGTCTGCTTATATAGATCATTTTTTCAATTCCTTTTTGTCTCTCACTGAGACTTTGTTGCTCTTTATGCTTATCCTTTATCATACTGTATGACTGTCAGACACTAGAAGGCTTGAAAATCTTACATTGTATATTTTACCATTTTACATTTTCTCCCAGTGTCAGTTCTGACCTGATTTCATCAGTATCAAACTGTTAGAGCTAGAAATACGTGTTATATTTGTACGCCTATCACCCAGAAAGGTTGGAATTGAGGCTTTCAAATTGCAAAATATTATTCTCTAACACTACTGCTTTGTGAAACATTGCTTGTGAAACATTGGACTTGAAGTTGACAAAAAACATCATGGAAAAATATTAACATTTAGTATCTCATAAGCAAGTATGTGTTGCAGCTATTTCAGTTGTCTCAAATAATACAGCTAAAAATCATGGGAACAAGGGTTTTTTTTCCCCATGACATCAATATTTCCAGTAATTTTACACTGCTAGTTCTTTTCCAATGATAGGAAAGATTTCAATCAAACCGTGAGTTCTATCTAGTAAAATATTTCATTTACAAAAGGGTATTAGCCACACAGGTCGCAGTAATTGGAATTGTGACGCTAAAATTTTATGCAACCAGTAAAAATGGAAGACTACTACACAAAGCAAGACAAGTAAATAGATGCAAGTCCTGCTCAGGGCACACCATTTACCATCATTCTGGTTCATCTCTACGGAGTGAAAATTGTAGGAATGGACTTTCCTCCCTATCACTCAAATCTTTTACAATGTAAAAAGTAAAATAATACAAATAAGAGTTTCTACTCAAAACTACTCATTTAAATAAGTATTCACTATGCTCTTTGTACCTCAGGCTGAAGCCTTTGGTAATATCCATTGCAAGAAATGAGACTACAGACTCCCTATCTGAACTTCTTTTTAGAGCAGTAATGGAACAAGCAAGTGTATCATTGATCTAACAATTCCCATATTTCCATGTTCAAAATATTTTTAATTCTCCAGTTTAGAGAAGCAAATAGAAAAGGAGAAGAAAAAAATTCTCCCTGCAGTTCTTCAAAGATCATTTTGGATAGAAGACTCACACAAATTGAAAGAATCTAAGGTAGTGACATCATAAAGACAAGTCCTTGGGAATATGTATTTCAGAATTCCCTCTTTGCCATTGGAAAAAATCTAGATACAGCAGGAGCAGAACTGTGTGCTATTTTTTTCTACAGTAGTACTAACTTCTTTCTTTAGAAAATAATAAAATATATAATGCTGTAGATATTCCTCAATAAAAGGTTATGTGCTCTTTTTACAGTTGCTGCACAGTTTGAATGGAAGAGATTGAACATAAATGAAATCTAGTTCAACTAGCTTGACATCCACTTTTTTGTTTCTAAATGGTATGATAATAAGGGAGGTGTTTCATGTTCAATATCTGCTATTTTTTAGATGCTTATCTTTCTTCCAGTTGAGCCTCAAAACTATATGTCTATAATCATGCTTTTTAGACTCTCACAGTTTCACAGAAAAGATAAAATCTTTGCCTGGAATGAGTTTAACATGATAACAACTGTGAATATGTCTTTTCACTTTCATTACAGCTGGGATGTATCAATTTAGTATAAGCTTTGTCTATTTTTATACATTCTGTATCACTGATTTAGGAGCAGCTCCAAATGCTTGCCGCTTACTTTGAAATTATAAATAATCAAATGCTTATCTATATAGAGATCTGAGAACTTCAGGTGCCATTAGAAGACATAATTGTACAGACTTGAGACCTAAGCTTGCCTCACTGTGGTTACATACTCTCCCGTTTCCGCGCATCTTCTCTGAGGATGCATTTCAGCAAGACTAGCTGAGCCAATCTACCTACTTGCTGCTGTTGAAAGCAGTCCCCACTCCTAGCTACACGCTCCTCCACGTCTCTTGTATTTCACTATTCAGTGAGCCAATTCAGCTCATTAAACTGGCAAAAAACTAATCTGGAAAAAAAAAAAGCAAACCCAACAACAGCAAGACAAGACAGACAGATAAAAGTATGCCAAGGATTGACTTTAGCCAGTTTATCATGCTGGACTGGTTTACTGAGACATCGGAGGAGTTCCAGGACCAGCATAAGGGAATGCATAAGACCATGAAGGCAGGAGCAGAAAAGGGGAAGATATGAATCACTGAATTTGCTTTATTAGTAGGTAGGCAGTAGCAAGTCATGATTAAGAATGCACTTTCACAGCACTTAAAGCCAATCTAAATCAAAGGGGCCACATTCCAGGCCACATATTAGTGCACTTTCCTGGGCACCAGCACTGGCATTCATTTGGTCTCACTGTGAAATGGCTTAGGAGAAAAACTGAACTAGGAGAAAATAAATTACTTTTTTTCCTGTAGAGCTAGTTTTCTGCGAGTTTTGGACTTGAAACTATCTCACCACAGACCACATGAACACCAGCACTGGCATAAGGACACCTATTTGTGATTAGAACAGGACTGAAGGAGCGCCAGTTTGATCAGCATAAACTGCTGTGGATCCAAATTACCTTTTGAGACAATCTTAGATAAGAAAGTCTAAGCAACCTCAGAAGTATCCAATTGCTATACTTACACTAGAAGCATGTTTACATATTGTTCTACATAAGATTTATGTATTTATAAAGCATATCTCTGTTGTGTTATACACTGTTACAAACAGTTTTCAACCTTACATTTAAAAGCCTAGTTTTATGTCCCTCTTTCTTAGCACATCTTTTGCTCATTTCAGTAACAGCCTGCCCAACATCGTGGGGGAAATAAAATCGAGATGCTTCCTCACAGTACAGAGCAAATCTAAGCAAGATAGAATGTGCAAGACTCTCCTTGAAGAATATAATACAAAGATGTGTTCCAAGGACCCTGGGTTTCAAAGTACTTTCTCCAAAACTGCCTCTCAACCTGAAGCTCAGGACAACCTGAGACATCACTGGCCATCTCAAACATTTTGAAGGATTTGCCAGATGTGAACAAAAGATAATTATATGTATGAGGGAAAAAACTGACACATGTTCTTTTGGTAACAGAACTGGAACACAGCAGAGTATGATTCTTCAGGTTTACCGTGTTCAGATATGGTGGGTCTCTCCTTTCTCAAGTAAGATTTGTTCTCATTATATTGGTATAAAGTTCCTAACAAATCTGGTATTTTTATTTCTTAGTACAAGGGAAAATCCTCAGCTAAGCACTAATTAAAGACCACTGAATCACAACTTTGTTGTTATGCTTTCTTTAAGATTCATTCCGAGATTGCAAGAATTGCAGAGCTGTTGTTCTCTTGGCACATAAAACTGTAGAGAAGTCCTTTGATCCCCTCTTGGCTTCTGACATGCAAAAGGAATCAGTCCAGTCTAACTACTGACACATATCTACATGTATCTGTGAAATAATCTGACATTTAAGGGCAAGGTAACTACAAAGGTGGTAGCAAAGTAGTCCTGGTATTGTCTCTGGTTCTTGCATTTTCTAATGCTATTAACTGGTACATTGACTGTCAGGGGTTTTTTTCTTTTTTCTTTTTGGCTTAGTGATAATATGTAATTCTGGTCCTATAGCAACAGACAAAAGCCAAATGATCACTTACTTTCTCTGACAGTAGCCTCTGATTTCACTGACTAGGAAATATTTGTTGACCTATACATAAAGTTCCCTTAGAGCACTTAATGTTTCTCTCCTGTGGTGACAGGAAAAGATGATGGTGAATTAATCATCATCCATAGCTACTTTTATGCAAAGTTTGCTGTTCTCGTTAGGTATGCATGGGCAGACCCACTCCAACATATATGTAGTTGTGCCAAACAGCAACAATGTGCGATTGCTTTATACCGTGCAGCTTTTTGGGTGTGCAGCAATGGTTGGGTGTCTATATTCCTAAAGCCCTGCAAAGATAAAAAATAAGATGAAATCAAGCTTGATGAAATTCAAACTTCTGAAAGACCATACTACGCTTTAGAATTAGGAACAAGGTGAAGACATACATTAATTTCTGCCCTGCATCTCAAATGTGTACATACCTCTCACCAGTGGGTAGTGATGCTCACAGAGTGTCACTAGGCAGCTTAGGAATGCCATTTCTTCCTTTATTTTCAGCTCTATTTTTCTTCTGTTAGGATCTTGTCATTCCTCCCCCTGCTGAATAACTATGATGAAACATGTCAGTTGGCGCAGAAGGTGGCCGTAAGGAGTAGATTAAGAGGCAGTACAAGATACTGTACTGATCTTCACACTACTATCTGGTCTGGATATAAGCTATAGAGAGGCTGTCTTCTGAGCTCTGGCAGCTGATTAAATGATGCATTTTTCCTAGCAATGTCTATGCAGGACCACGGACAGGATGGTAGCACAATTTTCTGAGCACAGTACTCCTGGAATCTGCTCCTTAAAGACAGAAATACACAGTGCAACTTTTAAGTACATACATTTTTCAGTCTTTTTCCAGAGTAGGTGGGAGTAAATAGCATCAGAATTCCTACCTGCCTTGGAGTTCGAGCCTATTCTTGTTAGCTAAATTATAAAATTTGTAGATGTGTAGTTAAAAACTAATAATGGCTATGCCAGGAGATAAATAAATCTGGACATAAGCAGTCATCGTCCATTTTCCTTTGAGAATTTGCTTAATTATCTCACGGGTCACAACTCTTCCGAGACCACAAGTCCCACTTCAGGAAGTGCTGTCTCACCGCCCTCTCTCGCTGGAAAGACGGTAACAACCTGTCATTTATACCTCAACGGCCCAACGCTACAACGCGAACCTACGGAAGCGAAGGCCACCACCTGCAAGAGCACAGTCCCCGAGCACGCTAAGCCGCTGAGCGGGCTGGGCAGGGTGGCGACGACTGCGGAGCATTTCAGCAGTCCTTCTCGGGAGCCCACCGCC